GTCTGTTTGGGCCTTTCTGAACATGTGCAGCAAATGGACTGATCCAATATGGTGGACACTGAAGGGGGGGCTGAGACACACTTAATATTATCAGCGTTCTGATGGCATTTTAGCCAAAGGATTTTATCAAAAACATAATTAATGTGCATAAATAAGGAATAGTTGTATTAACCATTAGGCAATAATAGTATTGCTTAATAGTAATTCCCCCCAGTAAGAAGTGCAATAATCCAAAGAGGTATTTTGCTATTCAAACAGAAATGGCAGCTTTTTTATATAATTATAACTAATATATCTTCCAATTTAAGTATATGAATGTGTTATTTTTTTCACAGCTTTTATTGTCATTTCACTGTCAAAAGTACAGAGAAACGAAATTCTCTCTCTGCATTTGACCCATCCCCTTGGGGAGCAGTGGGCTGCCATTGTGCGGCGCCCGGGGAGCAGTGTGGGGTTAGGGGACTTGCTCTGGGGAGCCAGAGTGGCAGGCTGTGGGAGTGGGGTTTAAACTGAGAACCTCAGGAATTGCTGCTGCTCCCCCCATTAGCATGAATATTGCTATTATCACTTATTTGCCCAAAACTTTTTGGAAAACTGAAATAAGATTTTTTGATTTTTTTAAATTCTTTTTTGCTTTGTCATTATTACTTATATAATTTAACAAAACAGTTTAGATCTTAAGGTTCTTAACAGCTATGAATATAATTAATCAATTGTAAAGGAAAAGACATTCTCAAGGGAGAGAATCTGATGATGACGTTTTTATTATTTCCTCCTTTTTCTTGTTTTTCTTCTCATGAACAGCATTCTGCATGCAGGTCTGGATGCTCAGTACCCACTTTGACCAACAGATGGCAGTATAATACAGCCCCTTCTGGCAGCCTTTATTTATCAGGGCTTGTTTTTGTTATCCAAGCTTTCGTTATTTGAAATTATTTTCACATGTATGTATAATACAACTGTGCATACGTCACTTTTAAATATGCAGATGGGTTTGGAAAAGAACATTGATCCAATAATACTAATAATGTAAATAAATAGCCTTTATGTAATTTGCACACATTTAAAACTGGAGTAGATCGTCTTAAATTCTATCAATCTCTCACATTATTATAATCTTTAATTTTTGAGGGACTGATTCTCGTATTTCCATCGAAGTGGGATAGAGCTGCCCAGGTAAAAACAATTTAAGAATCACCTTCTTATTTATTTAAATCTGAGTTTAAGGATGAATCATTTTAGGCAAACCTATAGGAATATTTTGGGGCTTAACACGTGCGGTCATGAGTGGCCGTGTTAATGGTGTAATGATATCATCCAGGCTGTTTACCCGTATTTGTCACTATCTGATCATGCAGCTTCCTGCAGCAGCGCCCCTACTGTCTCACTGCGGTATTGCAGAATCCCCCTCTGTCAAGTTGAACAAAATCAGTTTGAATTTCCTGTTTGGGACTTTTTCTAAAAGCTTATATACAGCAAAATACAGCAATACAGCAAATTTGCATTTGAAAATGCAAAAATAGAAGAACATAAATAATAATAAAAATTTAGATGTAAGGACTAATACAATAATAACTGCTTAGTAACATTATACAGAAAAATGATGGTAAAGATTCTCAGTCATCCAGGTTAGAGTCATTCCAAAAAAATAAAAAATAAAAATAAACAATCCATTGGACTTTATTTTCAAGTTTGAAGACGTTTCGTTTCCAATCCAGGAAGGTTTTTCAATTCAAAATGTCAAAAATTAATTGAACCGATTCAATTTGCATATTTTCTAAGCCAAAACAAGGCTTTGTTGGTCCACTCTAAAAAGCCTCTAACTCTGCCATTTAGAATTGAAAAAGCTTCCTGGATGGGAAGCGAAACATCTCCAAACTTGAAGGCAAAATGCAGTGGATTGTTTTTTTTTTAACCTTTTTTTTTTGGAATTACACAGAAAAGTAAATTGTGTTAAAATTCCAATGTTGGTGTTGTATGTTGAAAGTATAATGACCACTCAAAGCTCGTTTTCTTTAATGCAGCACTGAGAGAGTTAGCTCCTCCAAAGGGTTGGGTTCAATCTGGGGAGCTGAATTCTGTTAAGTGCTGATAGCAAACAGTTACACCCATTTTAAACCAGGTGATTTGTCAGACGAGCATACCCCGTCAGAACAGCATACTCCGTCAGACCAGCATACCCAGAGTCAATACGCATGCGCAATACGTCCAATTTGCATTTATCCCTTTAGTTTCGTACAAAAAATATACTTTAAACCTCTACAGGCGTGTATCCCTTTAGTCATGTAAAAAAAAATAAATAAATTAAGGTCAGATCACCATACGCTTAAAAAAAAAAAAAAAAAAGTAAGTAATTGAATAGTATTTTTGTATATGACTAAAGGGGTACACATCTGTTGAGATAGTTTAAAGGGTATTTTTTTGTGCAAAAGTAAAGGGATAAACTAAAGTGCGACCCGCATTAAAATCGGCTCTAATCGGCATGCTGTGGGAACACCAGCCCCGCGGATTACCCGCTGTGTGACATCATTCAGATGACCCCCCTCCAGCCCCTCCTCCACCATCATAGCTAAAGCTTCATCAGAGCGTCATTCCTCCTGGACTCTTACTACGTTCCGCGTCTCATTTAAACCGGTCCGGCAGAAGACCGCCATGTTTAGCCTGGTTCTGCCAAAGGTTTCTTCCCAAGTTTTTCCTCTCCACTGTCGCTTCATGCTTGCTTATCATAGACAGGTTCTCTCAACCTGTGTTATCCAAGCTGGACTTCCATCTTCCAGGTC